AAGATCCAAAGTTTAGAGTCTAGAAATGAAAAAATAGTATAATAATGGCATGGCTCATCAATTATATAAAAAATGAGTAAAAGCTCAAAATAATCCCCAGACTATTTATAATATCTAATTTAGTCCCAGAGTTTTACATTGCCCCATTTTAGTCCCTCGACTATTAGAAATTGAGCCAATTTGGTCCCTAGCCGTTTAAATTAACAGAGAGAGCTGGAGAGATTCATTTCATTGGGGGCATTTCGGTAAAATATTTGCTTACCCTTCCCGCTATAAGCCCTCGACGTGTTCCTGCTATACGCCCTGGAGATCAATTTGTCGAGGTGAACCTACATAGCATAAGACACGAGCAACCCAGGGCGACGCGAACGAACAAGGCGACACCAATTGCATTGTTTTCCATGTAATCTTGAGATAAATGACTACAAATGATTAGGAATGTGAGTCAAGCTGGCTAGGGCTCAGGCTTGGCTCAAAAAATGGTTTATGAATTGAGCTTAATGAGCTATTGAGCCCAATGTTTAAAATTTTGGATCGGGTATTGAGGCGTTTTCGTTCGTGAGGCGTAAATCTCAAGGCGTTTTGAGGTGTAAGCCTCAAAATCAAAAGATTGTGTAAACATCAAATGATAAATTTTATATATAGTAATGAGTAAATAAAATATAAAGCATAAAAATGAAAAAGATATGAAATGAAATCAAAATATCCCAATAATAAGACAACATGAAATATAGTTCAACTCAAACTCCATTTTTCCCAAATCACAGTATTCTTTTCATTAAAATATAATTCCAAAAATAAATAAAAATGACATATCACATAAGAACTCATAAGTCATCGGCACTGTCATCACTAAGGGGGCATTCATTTGAATAATCATTATGATGAACTGCTTTCTCCCCTTCCTCTCCTATAGAGTCCAATGTCTCCCAATCAGGTCTTTCCTCAATATCAGTGATCTTCCTCTTCCCTAAATATTTTTGAACAATATCAAAATAAACAATACTGTAATACATTAATAAAAGTCTAAAAAAACTATATTATTTATATACCTTTTTTGATTTGTTCTTGAGTTGTGGATGTAGATGTTTTAAGACCATCAAAGAAATCAACATTTAAATCTTTATCTTGTAATTCAGACAACATCACTTCAACTTCATCATCTACAAACCACTCATCATCAGATGCCACATTTTTCGCAAAGCAAAGGATCTTCATCATCTATTAATTATTTTTTCTTCAATTGAGTCTCCTATTGTACATAATGTACACCGGTGAATTCATCCTCAATGTCGACAAGCGATTTCTCCTCTTTGTATGTACTTGATTATAGGTACTCTAATTTCTTTCACAACCAGATGAAAATCATGTCAAGCCCAAAACTTTCATAGCAAAATGCTGTAATTCTGGAGTCCCATCGTCAAATTGATTCCACCACTCAACTAATATTTATATAAGAGAGTTTAATTAGTGCGAAAAAAATAACTTTTAAATAAATGTTTAAAACATTAAATAAATGTCACAACTTGATGTAGGCAAAGGGGGGTCAACTCATGTCCAAATAAATCAATTTTGGTCTCCCTCGAGTTTATAAGCTCAATCAAAATTGAGCTGAAATTTTAGCTCATTTATGAGCTGGTCTTTAGTTCACTTATTGAACTAAGGGTTAGCTCATTATTAGCTAACATTTTAGTTCATAGTTATCTTTTATTAAATGTACTTTTTATTGTTTTGTCTTTAATTATGTTTGTCCCTTGGAATTCCAAACCGGTCTTTGGAATTCCAAAAGTGTTGTTTCTCATGTGTGGCTCCTTGGCTTCCACCATGGGCTACTATTTTTCCGTGCTTTGCCTCTTGGATTTCCGGTCGGCTGCTGGTTTTCCGAGCCTGGGAGTTTTCCTGTGGCTTTAGCGCCTTGGTTCTGTGCGGCCTCCTTGGCTCCCACGGCTGCTCCATCGGTTCTTGGGCTTGGGCTGTTTTTCCGTGAAAAGCATTTGGGTTTTAATGTTTGTGATGTTTAGAATTCCTATGAGAATTCATTGTTAGTGTTCTTTTGTATTCCCCTTTCATACCTATAAATATGAGGGGCTTGTAATGTTTGAAATAGTGAATGATATGTGATTTTTGGAAATGTAAACATATGGGTTTCGTGGAAAAGCTTGCGAGCTTTGTCCGTCTTCTTTCTCATCCCCTCCGAAAATCTTGCGAGCTCTTTCCAACCTTTCGTCTCGGCTTCTAATCTCTTTCGTCTCTCCGCAAGTGCCACTCCATTTGTATCTTTCGTCTCTAAGTAAAGCAACATTAGGGTGTCTTTGATTTCGAGTCAAAAGTTGTAATCCGTCGTCATTTGTAATTTCTTCTTTTTAGTTTAATTTGAATTGTAAGAGTTTGTTCTTCCTCATCTTAGTCGCATCATTCGTGATTTAGTGGGTTGTCGTCGGTTTAAGGACACGAATCTCTCGTGTGGGCGAGGGGTATAGGCTCCCTATATTTCTTGCCCCCACAACAACTTATGTTGAGGTAGCTCCTCAAGCTTCTCAATAATCAGATCTATGCAATGTGCAACACATGGAGTCCATTACAGATGTTTCCTCTTCTTCATAAGTTTGTTACCTACAGCCTTGTAAGCACTTGCATTATCTGTCATAACTTGTACAACCAAATGTTCTCCAACCTCCTCAACAATGCTATCTAATAATCAAAATATGAACTAAGCATTTTTGTCCTGGTCAGATGCTTCAACTGACCTTAAAAACACAGTATGATAAGGATTATTAATGATGATGTTAATCAGACTTCTGTGTTTGATATCAGACAACCATCTGACATAATTGTTACTCCTGTTTGAGCCCAAGTCCTCTTAATTTCTTCAATGCTTTTATCAGTGCTTTCCAACTCCTTCAGAATCTATGCTCCCAACACCTCCTTCAGAATCATACATGGTTGGAGATTTGAACCTTCTCTCAAATGCTCCAACTGAACGAATCATGTTGTAATAGGCAGGTGATGTTGCAACATTAAATGGAATTGCATTTTTGTAGAAGAATCTGTCTATATCCTTACACACTCTTCTCCGTGCCTCCCTTGCATTTTTTTGGGGTCATCTTCTATGTAGTAGGAGGTCTATCCTCTGATGTGTCCACCATATAATGATCAATAGGCCCTCTAGCACCCCTAGATGAAATTGGCTTCATCGAAGAAGATGAATCCCTAACACTGCGCTCACTCTCGTAATAAGAGCCAACATCAACTCTGTCCTCAAATTTCTTCTGTGCAAGATATTTTGATGTGGTAGACTTATTCATGTATGACTTTATCTCCTCCCTTACAGTATCAGGAACTTTGGAGCATTGAACAACATTCTTGTGAAACCCTGAAAGGTGATCTTTCATCCTAGTCACACCACCCTTCACAACTTTGTCACAGTAATTGCATTTTAGATAGATATATATTTTATTATTTCCCCCTACATCCATCTAAGTGTTATGTTTCTATGCTGGATCTTTTCTATGACCTGATGCAGCTTTATCCTTACTTTTGACCATCCTTTATGAGAAGAATATATTAGTGCAATATATCAAACCCCTAAACATAATGCTTCACTTATTATACATTAAGAAAACTTATACAAAGCATAAGCACTCATGAAGAAGCAGATTAACACTAACAACTATTACTAAAGATGATGAATACAACAATATGCCGGTCAACTGGGGGTCCAAGGGGGCGTTGCCCCCTGGCGGGGTTTGACCTATAAGAGTAATTTTAAAGTTATGTTTATTTTTAAATTTCGTAAGTCGTTTGTATGGAAAGATACTGAGCGGTACCGAGCATGTACCTTATAGTAATGAGCATGTACCTAGTGGTACCAAGCATTATTGTATTGAGTGGTACCGAGCATGTACCTAGCGATACCGAGAAGACAGACCGATTGTGGAATCTTACTTATCAGAATATGGAGGTCCTTATGGCAGAATGGACCGATCTTCTATTTCACAATAAGGTGATAGATGGAACCACGAAGAAGAAGAGCTTTCAATGGTCAGTCGAAGGAGACTCTAGCCCAACTCGCGGTAGACGAGAACTCCAAGCAATAGGAGAAGAGCAACTCACAGTGAAGGAAGCCATCTTCCAAGCCGATTGTTGGTCGAATGGACAAAACTTAGGAAGAGGGGAAAATGTTGCTCGAAGAAAAAGGGAGAATAAACCTAGTTTTGGTTCGGAAATGACCGAAGACGTACGGGGGTGGGGGGGCGAACCGAATAGATATATATTAGGTTAGGGGTTTTTTTAATTTAAAGAAGCGGATGCCTCTAAAACATGAGGCAAGGCGCGCCTCAGTGAACTTGAGGCGTACACCTCAATGACAGCTCTCATTGCATAGGTTTTGAGGCTTAAAAGTTCAAAATTGCGTTAAGGCACGCCTCTCTTATTGCGTAATTTTAAACAATGATTGAGCCAAGTTTCAGTGAGCCTTGACTCTGACTTGTCAGTTCGTAAGCCAACTCATTTAACATATGTTATTACAAAATACACTTAGAATAAATAAGAATTTAAAAGTTTAAGTATAAAATTATTATAATTATCTCTCACTTCCTTGTATTGAGTGATTTATTATAATTTCTTATCTAATTTCTCATTCATTTTACAATTTCATTAAAATAACTATTTGAATTAAAATTATTCTCTTTTTCATAATAAATGAGCCAATTTGAATTCGTAGAATTAAGTTCGAGCTCAAGCCGGGTGTGGCTCAAGTTAGATTGACTTGTTTAAACCCCTACAAATGATGATCAAAAGGTCCATTGGCTCTGCAGTGCCTTTAGATTTTCAAAAGAAAGAACGGATGAAAGTATTTAGTATCACTATTTATGTTTTTTAAGGCCATCTTCATCCCTTCACAAAATTAGATGTCTGGGTAAAGTTAAATCAACAAAATTTTCTATGTTAAGTTCCAAACTAAATTTCCAATACTATTTATAAATGCTGAGGAGGAATACCTGCAACCGCTCATAAGCCTTCTGCACAGCAACAAATTTCTCTCTACCGTCAGGATTTTTGTCAGGGTGATATTTTATTGCCAATTTTTTATACTGACGTTTAAGCTTTTCCTCGTCAATGTTTTCAACCCGCTTGTTTGTGCTGCCTTCCTGCATCCCTGTAGATGGCTTATTACAGTCATCTTCATCAACAGTAATGTCATCCAGAGATATCTCCAGTATCTTGCATGCTTCTTCCTCAGAAAGATCCATAGGCCGTCGAGTTAATTCCTCACGCCACATTGCCAACAATGACTGCAAAAACTCTACATGTTCAACAATAGGCCAATTTGGAAACCTTATCTCATCGCATAAATTCCGGAGGTAATAACGATGACACCACATCTCATCCTTCAGCTCTGGATATGTTACTGGAGGCATGGGTGCATAGTCATACAGTGAATGGCAGTGCTGTGACAATTTCTGCGGGAAATCTCCAAGATGCTGCAAAACCTGTCACAGAAAATATTTGAACAGATAAGATACAGAGTGTTGCAACATTCAACCTATTCAGAAACAAGACATACAAAAAATATCAACATCATGAACAAAGCAGCATGAGCCAAGAACCTATGAAATACCTGACGAATAAGATGTTCTGCCCGCATCTTATGTGTCCAGATGATCTCAGGAGTATCAGAATCGGATACCATTGCTGCAGCAAAGGCGGCAGGTCCGCTACGCTCCAGAACATACAGTAATGACTCAGGAAGAAGTCCACCCAGTACACTTCTCTTTGCCAAGGGCAAGGATGAAGAGACAGCTGCCTCTTCACCACCATGGAATGCTTGATAGGCATGTGTTATGGAGAAGAGTTGTGCAATAGATAGAAGATTAGATCCAGGATATGCAAGAGCAAAGTAAAATGCCCCAGTACTGTATAGTCGAACCATTGCTTTGGGGTTTCTAGTCACAATAGCCTTTAGCAGAGAAGCAACACCATCGACAATGCTGGGTTCTCCAGTTAGCAAAGCCTAGAATATGTAGTCAGCATAAACAAAGTACATTCATATCATTGCATGCACATGAAAAGTTATAAAGTGCTAATGCATCTGCTTTCTAGGAGATTGTTTGCAAGGCAGGGGTGTGATTCATGCCGCTTACTGAGCCTTCCTAAAAAATCATGGCCCCAAAAACAGTTTTTCATCCGATTTAAGCGGGCGGGAAGTGGGAGGTGAGGAGAATGCCACAGCCCTAAGTCCCCGTTATGCCCACACCCATTTCATAAACCTAAGTGGAATTTCCGAAAGTAACATAGCAAGCAACAATAGTTCCATTTTAATTATCTTTCATGATTGGACAAAGAACAAGCACTAATTGGGTGCCTGCTAATATAAAAATAAAGAACAACGAACAATACAAAGATAAAAGTAATAAGCATACTAAGATCAGGAGATAGCATATTCATCCTTACCTTCAAAATTCACCAAACTGCGACGATTGGTTTCACGAACCATCCTTCACCAATATTTTTATGAGTTGCATTAATGCTTAATTCTAAATTTATTGTAAGCCTGTAAAGTACCAACACTTCTAAAAGGTTTTCAAGCAGTGTCATGTCATGTCATGTCAGACACTTGGACATTGACGCTTAACCCATGTAGAAAACATGCAAAAGGAAGCAAAAGGACATTGACGCTTAACCCATGTAGAACACACTAGATGGAATCTTAGAAAAAAAAATTTTTTAACACTTCTTGAGTACTTCGTGCAGAGGTATCAGAATAAAAAATACAAATTGTCACTCTAACTCAATAGGATATACCTATTTATTAACATCTTATACCTTGAACGTAACTGAATTGATTTGCCTAATCAATAGAATTCTAATTTCCTCTCTATCACTCTCTATTAACACTAACCTGCTTCAACTATTTTTAAGTTGTGCTTTATCATTTGAAAGAAAAATGATATTTTATTCATTATTCTTACCATATCTAATTTAGATGCCTAGCATATGTGTCTATGTCAGTGCATCATAACCTTTTACATTAATCCACCCCAACTTCCAATTGTTCCTTTTACACTCCTGATGAGGACATCGACACGTTTTCGATGAGTATATCAGCGCAGGAGTCACAAATCGATGACTACGATCCAAAGCCTTTATTTTGATGCTTAGTCTTTATTTTGATGTTTTATGTACTAATGGTTATTTACGATTGTATCCTTTCTTTTGAGTCTTCTTGAGTTGTAGCCCCAGGAGTATTTGAGTCATTGTATTTCTTTATTTCTTTAGGCTTATATATTGTGGCCTCCTTTATTGTATCAGATGATGAATTATGAATGAAATTTCAGATTTCTTACTTGATCTCTAAGTGAGTTCCTGAGAGGAGAGACCCTAGGTGGATGAGAGCAATACTCGTCAACCTTCGGAGGATTCCAAGGTTCGCGGCTCCAATCTTTTCTTTTCTTTTTTCCTCTACTTCCACCTCCCCTCCTAGCCCCCACCCGTCGGCCTCCCAAAGCCCCATCCCCTTCCCTCCTCCCAAAAACGAACCCCCACCAACCCGCCTCACCCTTGTGCCGCCGGCCTACCCTCACCCGTCCACCACCGACCACAGCCAACCCCTCACCGCCGGCCTCCCCAAGCTCCACAAGCCGCCGGCCCTCATTCCACTATCGAAGGATTTTGAATTTCAAATTTCAAAATTATACTTAATTACTTTCCTAAATTACATCCCTATTAATTTGGAAAGTTGTCTCATTTAAATTCAAATTCAAATTTGAATTATAAAGCTTTCCATATTAATAATGTATATTAGGAAACCTCCTAAACACATAAAATCTGAAATCAATTTCATATTTAATGATAATCCCCCATTAAATTCTTCCCGAGCCCACTTATTAAACATAAACACCTCCAATCCCCCTTATTTGGCCGACTCCCCTCTCTAGCCTTTCTCTCTCCAATTCGTCACCTAGACCCTCATTATTACAATGCCCAAGGAGAGATAGATATCTTCCGATCTACTTTCTACGAACCAGACTGGGAGTACGACAAATCATTGGAACACCACGTTAACCGCATCGTTCATTGCCTCGCCGAAACGATCGAGCTCCAACCACCCAGAATACATTGGCTCCTCGTCGGGAGATCCGTGCATCCTCCACCGCCGGTTACCTTCCCAACAACAAAGCTCCTCGGTTCTTTCTTCCTAGTGGTGATTTCAAGTCTAGTTTAGAAAATCTTCATCCGCTAAACCCTAAAACCATAGAGTGAGAGAGAACCCTAAAGGTGAACATCTCATTATTAAACTTCGGATTTATGTTACAAGCTATTAGTGTTTCTATTGCCTTTGTATTTGACTAAGAGTGACTTGGTTAATCTACATGTGTTTCTTTGCCTAAGCAAATGGAAAACTATGAATTCTTAAAACTTCCTTTTGTCTTGAAGCATAATTTTATAGTGGTAAACTTTTAACAACTTTCTTATTAATTTTCTAGCTAACTCTTTGTAGTTTCACATCAACTCCATTTTGTATGAACATGCCACTTTTGTTTCATTTCTATCGCCTTTATCGTATAATCCTATATGCCAATCTAGTAACATTTCTAATATATTTGTATTATATTTCGTAACTAATGGCATGACCGATATTTCATGAGCATGCATATTTTGGAAAAGTAAATGTCAAAATAACATAGTAAATATTGGAAAGCTACAGTAAAGGGTGAAATATGATTTTTAAGAAGACATGTTCATATTTTTGTTAGTATGGGTGATTGTCAAAAATCAATCAAAAAATAATAATTGAGAAAAGAGCCAAATGGCTCCTCAACTCTTTGAGGGAGCAAAATGATCTCCAACTCTTTTGAGGGACCAATTTGGTCCCTCAACTATTTAAAATGGGATATTTTTTATCCTAACATCCAATGTTGGAGTTAATGGTATTAAATGTAAGGGTATTTTGGTCATTTTTTAATTAAACATTTATTAAATATAATTTTCAAGTAATTATAATTTTTCTATAAAAATTATTAAATATTTCTTTAATAAAAAAATAATAATAATTTTAGTTTTAATTTCAAAAAATTTAATCATATTTTATAAAATTTTAGAACCAAAAAGATCTCATTTTAAAGAGTTCTGGTCCCTCAAAAAAAGTTGAGGGACCAATTTGATCCTTTTCTCAATAATAATTATTAAAGCTCATTTCATGCCACACCCTCCCTCTTGTCATCATTTCTAACGGCATGGCAAAGACATTTTGAAAGCTGTTGAAGAACACGGGCTGTAGCCAAGGAAGCAAAAGGAAGCTGTAACTGTAGAAACAATTTCAGGGAGAAATTATGTACTTGCATGCTATATGATTGGCAGTCAAGCTGGTTGTAATTGGCGGACCGCAAAATATCAAGGAGGCCCTTGAATCCATGATTGAAGGGGGGAAAGGCACCTGAATCCATGGCAACAAGCGAAAATGGATTTGTTTTTTTTTTTTTAATTGTGATTATTAATCTTTCTAAAGATGTATATGCAGCTCCATGTATAAATATCTTTTGAATGTATGATAAAACAAACAAGTTTTGCCATTCTTCTATTTTTCCAATAGTGTTGTATGTAATAGCAGAAGCATGCCATGCACGTTAGAAACACGTACTTTTCTTTTTTACCAGTATATCTTCTATTGGCTTTTTAAAACCCAAAATTGCAACTTTTCTATTTAACCTTTTTGTAACTTCACCTAAAATATTTGAAGAGGTTGCAAGTACGGAACAATAATTAAATGAAATAATAATTGTGAATTTCAGAATGGAATATGGAGTCTGCATTAATGCATAATTTATGCATGTATCTGCGCAGCACAGAACAAGGGCTCCTACTTTTGGTAGTAAATGTCATTGGAACCACCAAAGCAATTTAGTTTGATTAAAATAGTATGCATATTTTGAAGCACTCATTCCTAATGACTGTGATTCAATAACTAATAGATTCACTAAAAATCCATTGAGTATCGGAAAAAAAGTTATGCACCTGAGCAACATGCGGAAGGCATCGAGGGCTTGAGAGAATGCGTTTGACTCTTGGTGTTGGCGTCACAATCTCTCCAGCATCATCAAGATCAGAATGCGCAGAAACCATGCTATGTAATATGGATAATGCAATCTCCCCCACCTGAGTGAGCAAATGTTCAGTTAGCTCTATACTAATTGAATATTTGGGAGGATAACAAACACAAGATGGTATCATACAAATGCACAAAAAGGACCACCAATGAAGAAGAAAAAAGAAAAAAATGAGATGGCTGAAGGAAACCAAATATTCAACCAAGAAAGGTCTCTCTGACACTCAACAAATATTAAGGTGCGGAAGACAATCTCAAATAGGGGTTACTCTAAGTCTCTAACAGTGATAACAAATCGAAATTGTTTTAAAAATATGTAACAAAAAAATTAATTAGCTCTTCTCAATTTAACAAATTAGTTTGAGATTAAAAAAAGGATAAAAGCAATAGAAGTGAAAGCAAAAACATAGATGAAGAGGAAGTTAGGAAGCCTGCTTTTCCTTCAAAAAACCTTCAAACAAAGTTCTAAGATTACATCCATGTGATCAGGCTCAAAACTTCATGAAGTGATTGTTTGCTCTACTTGCATCCAGAAACAGAATGTTCACGATCAAATTGAAGGATCATAAAAACACTGACATTTTTATTTTTAAACGCCAGAAAAAAAATATAAAATGTAGGAATGCGCCATGAAACAGAAAAAAAATGAAGCTTCTCATATAATTAAGATCAAACTTCACGATATGCAAATTCAAAGACAACCATAGCATGCTGCATGCTTAATATTCTCTAAACTTGATGAAATTAAATAACTTAGTTATCAAGATAAAGCTCAATTATAAAACTTTAAATCTCAAAGATGATTGACAGAATAAATTGAAGTACACAATTCAATACCCTGTTCTAGATGATCAAAAGATTTGATGCGGGCAATACATGCATAGCTTGTAATATTTATAGCATTCAATGATGAAAGTAAAAAAGCTTCACAGTGGAACTGCATGGATTACAGTCCATCTCATGGTGAAGAGAGTGAGCATGAATGCAGCCACATGCACGAGCATGGGTGCAGTGATTAAGTTTCCTGTGCTGTGAGTTGTAGGGCAGGAATTTAAATAAAAATTGCAAACTATTTGCTAATGCAAGAGTAAGGACAAAAATCCATCCACAAACGCAATGTTTTATGCACTTTGTTCCTCATTCTCAGTTAATCTAAAACACTAAAATGATTTTCAATAAGAAAACTGTAGAAAAAAACTATGATCTGAAGGTAAATAAGCAACCAAATTAAAAAATTCAACACTTCTACATCAAAGATGTGTAAAGTAAAATAAAAAGAGAGTTCCTAAATAAATATTGATACTTATGTTCTATAATTGAAACAGTATAGAATATGGCAAGTTAACCACATTGCTGGAGAAATGTTGATAGCAGCAAACCACCTGAACATGAGTTAAAACTTGAACACGCAGAGCTAGTGCCCAACGTAGTTCACGAATGTCACGCAGTTTCTTCCAGTCAAGCATACCAGAAGACCAGAATCTAGTACTCCAATCAATGGCTTTCTTTGACCAAAGCCTTCTAATTGCATCTTTCTCAAGGGGTCCAATTTCTGCACCATCATTGTCCGTGTACATCCATTCCTTTAATGGTTCCATGAATGCAGTTGCTGCAATCAAATTAGACTGCAGGGGTATGGAAGTTCTTTCAGATGCTTCATGGGCTACAGTCAGAAGATCGACAGCTAAAACGCACCCTCCAACTAAAACGCAAGCTTCAACATTCGGAAGAACTTTCATTAAGACCTGCACTACCAAATAACAAGGACAGGACACCAGCTGTCAGAAAAAGATATGGTAGACAGTAGGGAGAGTGGATCAAAAATGGAGTTAGTCGTGTTTAATACAGTAAATAAATGAATAAGAGGCAGCCTAGAAATAAAATGCTACAAGCATCAAGCTACTGAAAATCCTTGCCTATATCAAATTAGATTATGCAAATGCTTCAGGGAGAAGAAAATGAAACAGGTAAACAACATACAAACTTATAGATGACTAACTTAGTAATGGAGCAATCATGATAGCTAATCACGCTATTAAGAAATCAATAACAGCCCTACTTGTTAAAATATGATAAGTTGATAGATGAACATAAGAAAAAACGTTAAAAATAACTAAAATAGTCCCTTGACTCTTTAAGAAAGACCAAAATAGTCCCTAACTATATTAAATGATCATTTTGATCAGGGGCAGATCCAACTTCTTTTTTCAGGGTGGGCAAAAAAATTTTTTTTTTTTGGGATGGGCAAAGATGCTTATGATTGATAAAATGAGGGCAAAAAAAATTTTTAATAGGGGGCAAAATACCCATAATATACCAAACTATTCCCTCTAAAATTAAAAAAAAAAAAATTTTGAGGGGGGCAAATAGACAATGGGGATCCGCCCATGATTTTGATCCCTCAACTTATTAAAGAGGAGCCAAAATAGTCCTATCATGAGACTTTTTGATTTTTTTTAAAGACTAGAGATATCAAAATGGTCCTTTAATACAGTTGTGGACCATTTTGGTCCTTCACAAGTCCTTAATAAAGAGTCAAATGACTATTTTGATCCTTTTTCTCAATAAAAAGACATCAAAATACAATTCAAATAGTATTATATAGGCAAACAACAGCCGGGCTCTGTTTATATGAAATAGCACCCATCATGATCAGCAGCTTTCCCAAAGATTACTAGGATGAAATGTATTAAACTAAGGTCAAAAAGCGCATGAACAACAATGTTTTTTGATGTGTTAATAAATAATTTGGTGAATCTTCAGTGATTAAAATGCCAATATATCCATTCAGGTTTTTAGTCATTAGTTATAAATAAATAATAAAACAGCCAGAACCAAAATACCAAAGAAGACATTAAAAGCCTGGTTTTTAAATGCCAAACATTGTAGTTCGTGCTGGGTTGCAATGTGCCCATAAGATATAATTCAAGCACAAAATTAGTATAAAAAAGTATGACATGCTATGAAGCACGAATTTTTCCAAATGGCTTTCATGTCTGTGTCAACAAGGCTTGAACATGGGCACTGCTCCGACACGCCTCGATATCAGTCCGACACTTCAAATATTGTGTTGAAATTTTCTTCCTGTGAAATTAAACTTGGACACTTACAAGACATGGGTGGGACACTGCTATGGCACGAGCGGGACACCCAGAACTCAAAATAGTAGAATTTAAAACCGATGCAAAGGAAATAAACCCGTAATATTTGTGTTTTCCCTAGCCATATGCAATACACTCATGTATACGAAACTTCTTCTCCCATCTCTACCTCTTCTTTTTCGAAGTTGAAGATAACCGAGACCATCCTACGAAGCTGGAGCCAAAGCTAAAACGTGCCCTTTGAAGTCATTCCTTGGAAGCCGTAGTCGAAGCCTTGTGCCCTTTGAAGTCAGTATTCTTTTTAGACAAAGTCATACTATGCTATTATATTCGAGGCCATCTTCAAACCCAAAGCCATGCCCTTTAAAGCTGAAGCCAAAGCTATGCCATCATGCCTTAATCAACCATTGAAACTAGGTTCGTGTCAATTTTACTAAAACAATAAATAAAAAAGTTAACATAAATCTTCTCAAACAATATTTATTTTTATTTTAATATTCAAATAAGCAATTTTGTTTATATGAAAAATATCTAGACTTTCATTCATAGAGATAGTAATTAAATAGCTAGCATTTTTTATTGTAAGAGTATAATTAATTTGTAAATTATTAAATTTCTTTTATTGTTTTTGTTTAATAGAATAATGATTTTTGTGGACACTATCATGGTTAGTAATAACCTTGCAGAGGAGAAGACAAAAAATTTATGGCTATAGTTATCCAGTTATACAAAATAGGAAAGATTAGAGTGGGAGGCAATGTAGAATTTCAATTTCATATTAATAATTTATTAAAAAAAATATTGCATTGTGTTGATGGCATTTCAGGTCATATGTTTTTTAGTTATATCAAATCAGTGCGTCCGTGTCATGTACTTGTCTTTTGTCCTTGGGACCGTGTCCATGGATCATAAATCATAGATCATAAGTATCAATTTAAGTGCCAACCATGTAAAAAATAAGTTACCCCCAAAAGACACCATGGAAAGGAGCACATTATGTCATTGATCACCTATCCAGCATATAAAAAACATCTTCATTAGCCTTATCATGCCTATTTCATGTCTGCTGTCCTGGTAATCAAGTTCAATGACGTAGAAAAAACTTCCAAGAAAAAAAATTTCTAAGTGAGCAGAATCCACCAAGTTTAGTATCATGCATTGGCAAGTTTCAAATTATATTAACCTCAAAGTTCAAATTCCAAGGAAAAAGCCTCGTCTAACTAGGCTTATGTAGCTATGAACAACAAGTTCCCAGCAAATATATCTCTTAAACTACAAGATGATCCTTTTGAACAAATAAAGAAAGCAAATTTACATAGTAGCAAATCAAAAAATAATTATTTGAGAAATGTTTTTAAAGATTCACCTTTAAAAGAAGAAGTAGCCGATGCCTCAATACTCGATCATCCGTTCTGTCCAACAAAACTGTAATATGAGCAGTGCCATCAAAAGATCCGATGGCATTATAGTGTTGCTCATACACAATAGCCATTGCCCTTGCACAAAGTTCTCGAACTGAAGAACCACCTCCACCGCCAAAACCATCTAATCTACCCATATCGCACCAATCGTCTGAGGAACCTAGTTCATCAGGAATAGCACCATCCACAGTAAGCCCAATGTCTGCATCACATAAAAAACGATGATACAATGCTCTGAAGAAAGCAACTGGGTCACGTAAGGGAAAATCTTGTGCCTGACAACTGCTGCTGCTTTCAAGTAACAACCTAAGATAATATTGACCCACACAGACCTCTTTTGACAAACTGGGATAGCTAATTGAAAACTCAGCATAATTCCACGATAATTTAGGTAAATTTTCATGTTCTGTGGTATTTTTTGTTAGCGTGCTTCCAGGCACAATGTCATCAGTTCGCTCCTTCTCAACATCTAATTTGTGAACTTCAAGTTGTAAAGCTTCTCTTAGTTCCTGCCTGGTACGTTCATTCCATATTAAATCTGCCCGGTTGTGATCTAAGCCAAATGCCCTCCAAAACTGCAGCCAGTTACACAATAACCTACCAGATCCAACAGGAGTGCTTTCAGCGACAACTTGAGCAGGAGCAGGTAGGTCAGAATTCAAGGAGCCGATTGGATTGGTTTCAGAATCAGTTAAAACTGTAGGATTTGGATTTAATAACTGTGTGTTCTGCAGAAACTTGTCAGCAGAAGCAGTTGCCATGCTACAATTTTGCGGGCTTCCTACATAGGAATATTCACTAGCCATGTTACGACCAGGAACAGAGGTATAAGTAGGAAACTGAACAGAAATTGACTCCTGGGTAGTTCTTTCATGGTTTTCTGTCCCCTCAAAGGCGCTGATCTCCGTTTGTTTTCCCAAATCACCATTTTCACCATTACAAGGAAATAAATCATTTTCATGATTAGGTACACACCTCATAAAACGACCTTTCCTTTGTTGTAGTATGCGTCTCTGCCTCTTTCTGGTCAAAGGAGCATCATCATTAAATTGATTCTGTAAATCCTCAGAGGTTTCATCAAAACGTGTATGTAAGTATGCAACAAGCCCAGGAGGAAGGACTCTTGACAGTAAATCTAAAGCAGGTTGATATGAGTCTGCCCATAAAGCTACAAGTTGTCGGCTCACGTCACGTCTCTCACCAGTTGGAAGGAAAAATGCATTAAGCAAGTGTCTTAGGAGAGCGCCATCCCTCAAAGCAGCATCTCGCATGGACTCTGCAGCAATTGCATCTTCCTCAGCAATTGTCCGCATAATAACAGCAACTGTCTCCCTTACACTTTCAGCAGGATGCCCAAACAATGCGAATAAGCGGCGCCTCAACCCAGCAACTTGCCTTAACAGCTCCACAAAAATAGCATGTTGAGTTGTTTCACCATGAGGTTCACAAAGCAAGGCTTCAAGAACTTCAACAATTTCCATTGAAAGCAATGGTGAAACGGTGGTTGGTTTCAACCTATTGACAAGTATAATAACATAATGTTGATGTGCAAATAACACAGACTTAGCATGCATGAAAGTTGCATGCCGTTCTCCTTTTGAGTCCATTAGTAAACTAGGATCACCAGGACCACCACCAATAAGCATAGAAATAAGTCCTGCAGCCTCAGCTGCTACCCCATCGGATCCATTTCTGAGTAATCCCATTATCCTCCCAACAGCAGCAGGAAATGACATTACATGAGATGCAGCATTTCTTGAAGCAAGTAATCTGCGCAAGCATGCAATGAAGCCCATCACAGTTGCAGCTGCTTTTGGTGATGGAGGTGGAGGGGGAGGAGCATCTGCAGGGAGATTTGGAGTTGCTGGAAGCATTGTGATCAAAGCCATAAGAACTACCTCAGGCACCTCAATGCTGTGAGGCACTCCACTGTAGGCAATGCATGCATTGAACTCCCTTATTCGACGCCACAACTTTGCTCTTGACCCAGGAACCGAACCTCCTTCAGCTACAGCATCCTTGGCAGCAGCAGCTAGATGCTTTAAATGCATAGAAGCACTTTCCATATCAGCAATAGGGCGCTGTGCAGCAACATGAAGTTGCATCTGCAAATAGACCCTTCCACAAGGAGGATCTATGCGGTGACCAGGCATTGTCAACCTCGGCAACAAGGGAACGGGGTATTGTCCCTATGAGAAGTAAAAAAGGGAAAGAGATTGGTGAATAAGACCTTGCAAGAAGGAAGAAGACATGAAGAGTTAATAAAACATTGGAAGAATAAATGAAGGGGGGAAATTTGACCAAAGTTTAAAAAAAAAAAAAGAACATGCATTTTAAGCAGCAGATGTATTCCTACCTCAGCCTGAATCACATCTCGTATAGCTGCAAGTAAGCTATCTCGCGATGTGCTTGCATAAACCTGAAATGAAGAAACAAGAAAACTAAGAAGATATCCAAGAGAAGAAGAAAAAAATTGGGGCCATTTAAGTCGTACATGAATAGGGCAACCATCACTAAATTCCACAGCAAACATCTGTGGTTCTTCAGCGAACCTAACAAGAGAACTAACGGTGGACAGTGGTCGAATAATAACAGCCTGCACATAATCACAAAATATTCCATTAGTATCATGGAAACGAAGCAAAACCATGTGTACACGCACAGACTGTCAAATTGTGCCCAAGTTAGCAGTACGCATGGAGTTTTGGTAGTGCCAAAAATGTTTATTCACAAGAAGTTTATGACAACAAAATTCAAAACAAGTAGCCTTAACTAAATATCAGATAGCATATGAAATAAAGATGGACTTTCCAGTTACATCTAAAAGCAAATAAATGTGTAAACAATAGTATATTCATTATTCTAACATTAGAAAGCATACGCCCTTATACCTAGAAAAGTTAAGAGACCAAAGGGCGTGGAGATGAAGCATGCAAAAGAAAAACATATTGCACAAATAAATAGTCACCGCAAAAAAAATATCATCCTTAGGGATTATGACTTATACCTGACACTAACCAATCTGAACTACGGTTCTCATTTCTTACTTGTGACATCATTAAAAGGTAGAATCAGGCACTATGGTGATATCAAGCATCACAATAACGCCAGAAAACAGCCCAGGCAAAAAATAGGTCGAGGCAATAGCGATTTCAAGAACCACACACATGCCAGAAAACTACACAGGAATCACCAAAGTCGAAAAACTGCACAAGCAACATGTTTCAACAGACCTTGTTCTCATCATGTGTCTGCTATTCACAGTTTAGTGTTGAAACTGGGAAAATTTAAACCTATAGTCCACTAACTGATAACTCATTTGGTGCTATAAAATATTATGAAATAAAAATATAACAAGCCAGCTAAAGAATCTGAAACTGACAAGCCAGTGAGTTCTCATATTCTGCAATGCAACACATTTAAAAAGAAACTATTTTCTTGAAGTAAAGTGCATAATCCAATAATTGCAACATTGAGATGCCTCCAATGGGAAGAATTATAGATAATTAACGAGCATTGCTTGAAGAGATTAAGAATAAAGATTGGCAGCAAACAATACTAAAGATGAACCAATGTATGAATCAGAAATAAAATAATTGTATGACGGAATCAATACTTCATAATTATTAGGGCGCCTTTCAATCATTGAAACCCTTGTAAGAACAAGTTGACGAGATACAGAATCCCCTTGCTGACCAAGGCCTCCCTTGGGTCCAATACCGATACTTAAGCCCATGACATTAGCTGTACCATGTGCACCAGACCGCAATCTTGTAACAGACCATTCCCCATGGGGAGTTTGATCTCCTCCAACTGCTTGCTTGGCTGAAAACAACATGAACTATTGAAGATATAAGCATGTTATTGCCATAAACATTTGAAATTATCATGATGTGACTCACTAACACTGAATCCAAGAAACTAATTCACTTGAAGGCATGACAACCAAAAATACACAAACCAATTCAAGAAAGTCCATGGCACTAACAATATTGATGAAATATTTTAAAAGTTTATTTCTCAATGCAATAGTCATCTTAAATATAGGGTCTCAGATGCTGCAATAAAAAAACGTGAAGCTGCACGAAGATTCTATAAGATCATAAACTTTTGGTGAGGATATAACTAAATGATTGAAAAAGGCAGGGGACTTACAAAGCCCAAATAAGTTTATAATAATCATTTTTAATAGATAATTTAAATGGAAATGGAAATAGCTTAAGGGTACAAATTCAGTGTAGCTTTTACTTAAGATCAATAGAAACCTGTTTTAACAAAAGTTTTAAATGTTCTAAATGTCATCTTGCTTGTCAATTGAAATACTTTCCCAACAATAAAGCAAAATTTCTAATTAAATCATGGTTTACCTAGCGAGAATATATAAAAGTTATTATGACCTCAAATCCGAACCATTCTAAAAAATATCATAAGCCTAACCAGCAATCTGAAAAATCTCATTGCACCATCATTAATATACAATGGTTTTATACTTGAGATATTCATATGGACAACTGCAGAATTTGATCCCAGAAAACATGAAACTTACATGAAAAACAGCTGGACTAACATAGAACACATGATAGATGTCTTCGAAATTTAACTAAGAGCATGAAAGAGAAAACAGAAAGAATTACATCACAAAGCTCACATTCATAACTTACCCCTTTGTTTAATAAAATCTGCTGTAGTCAGTGATTGAGAACTTTCAACAGATAGTAACAACCCAACTGACGATCTTGCAGCTTTGGTCTGCACAAAACACAAGATCATAAAAGTGGATATTATGCAGGGTTCTAGAAACAGGACCGGGCATGCCAATTGGACTAGTTAGATGACGAATTGGTCATATGGTGGCCTGAAACAACAGCAAATAACGGATTGCTTAAAAAAATAAGATTAAAACAACAGAAAATCCAATGGTTGAACATAGGACAATTGAACCGATATCAATTTTAGAGAAACAGGCAATTTGCTTAAATGGTTCAAAATTTTCCGAAAAAAACTAAAATAAAATCACAAATCCCTCCTTAGAGGTTGAAATTAATCCTCTCGACTACAAAAGACAAGATTAGTGATATCATTTATTATAAATTTGATGTAATTAAACTTTTATTTTACCCTAACTTCTTAGTCTATTGGTTATTTGATTAGAAATTAAAATAGAGAAATGGTGTGTGGAAATTAGTTCGCTGCTTGATAAAATTGTATGGCTTATTTCACTTGGATGTTTTCTATTTCATAAATTTTTTTTATTTTCTATCACTTAATTGAATCATTATTAAAATATTATATCATACAAGTCATTAGTAAATAATTTTAATATTTATGATGTCATCATAATTCAATTCACAATTGAGTCAATGAATCTTGAATACTTTGATCTTTGAGCTCATACATTATTAAAAATATTATACCATACAAGCCATTATTAAATAATTTTAATACTTATTATGTCATCATAATTCAATTCACAATTGAGTCAATGAATCTTGAATACTTGGATCTTTGAGCTCATACTCCGATTATGTTTTCAGAATCTTTCTCTAATGTGTACTTATGACGCAATCAAAACTTTAAAACATTAATTGGCTTCTAAATCAACAAAAAAATTTAAAAAGGGGAAAGCAAACATACCAGATATGAAATAATTGTGGAGCTGGTGCTACCAGAGGCCGCAGTGAAGGCTTTACTCTTTCTCCCATATAAGGGGCAAAGTAAAAACCCTTCTTGCTCACTACTTTTCTTTCCATATTTGTCTGTCAAAAGTGTAATGGCAGGTGAATCCATGTCTCTAAAGTCCAAGCACCAGCGTATAACTCCAGACTGTGTTTCTATTAATTCAACTCCCACAGCTGTAACTTTTAGTTTCTAAGAAGTATAAAATTTGTCATTAAACCTCCAAAAAAGAAAAAAATTTGCATCAAGCAAGCACTAAAAGAAACACAAATCTTGGAAATACTGCAGTCTCAAGTGATACTGTGATAGAAGGAAATTTTAAATTTTGATTTGGTCTAATTTTGCATCAAGGCATCAACGTACAATGCAGAGTTTAAAATGCAACAAATGAATGCCAGATAAGATGCCCATAAAGTTTAGTGACACCAACTAAATCATAAAGAAACTCTGGCAGCTTACTCGGATTTGGAATGTGGGGCCACATAACACCACACTATATTTCAAACAAGATGGACAACTAAAGGTAAGGTCTGTGAACTCTTCATCAACCATGGTTATGCAGCGAATAACATTTCTAGTAATGAGGCCAAATCTTTACAAATGAAAAGTACTACCAAATATTTGCATCCTTACAAAATTAGTTCAATCAAAATAGGAATCGCGGTTCTCATCAACAATATGTTCAAGATAACATTCTCTATTGGTAAAAATTTCATCTGTGAAGTTCTTTGTGACCTTTTAGAAATTAATGTTAGCCACATAATATTGGGCCAACCTTGATAATTTGAGATGGAAGCGTCATGTGACTGTCACACCAATGCTTTACTATATATTCAAGTGGAAAGGCAGACTTCAGAACCATCGAACAAGCTATCTTCTATTCACAGCATTCAACATCACATTGATCTCATAACTGGATCCAATATCCCTAATTTACCACATTATAAAATGAGCCTAAAAGAGCACATGATACTGCAAGATATTGTCGACAATCTTTTGCGCAAACAACTTGTTCAGCTTAGCCTCAGCCTATGCATAGTTCTTGCACTAGTTGTCCCCAAAAAAGATGGAAAATAGCGGATGTGTATTGCAATTCAGGCAATAAACAAAATCATCATTAAGTGCCGCTTTCTCATGCTACAACAATAAGATCTACTCAATAAGCTGAATACAACAACAAGCCTTTATCATGCTATGTAGTGTCAACTACATGAACCATTTTTCTGCATTGTGCTCTATTACAAGTCAAATTCTCATTTAAATCTAATAAAAATATCATTTTTAATATTTTACAACCAAGTTTATTTAGGTCTACCTCTACCTTTCTTAACATAAGATGGATGTAATACATCTACTCTCCTAACAAGATCATCTGAAGTACGACGTTTTATGGGACCAAACCATTTAAGGAAACTCTCACAAATTTTATCTGCCACTGAACTCCAACATTTTCACTTATATGCTTGTTTCGTATTTTGTCTCTAAGTGCAAAGCCACCCATCACTTAACTTAATTTTATGCTTCACTTTTAATAGCCAACATTCTATGTCATAAAACATTGCACGTCTCATCACCATCTTATAAAAAAATTTCTTAAATTTGAGGGGTACTTTTTTCTCACACAACCGGCCGATGCATTGCTCCACTTCAACCATCCAACTTGAATTCTACTAATAATATCCCAATCTATTTCACTATCGATTTGAATAATAGACACAATATATCTAAAACGTACACTCTTGTTAATGACTTGATCACCCAATGTCACAATCCCACCACTAGATCTATTACTAATAAAATTACACTCTACGTATTCGATTTCAGATCTACTCAAACGAAAACCTTTAGACTCTAATCTTGACCTCCATATTTCAAGTTTTTCATCAACTCCCTCTCTAGTCTTATAAACAAGAAGAATGTCATCAACAAAAAGCATACACCAAGGTGTTGCAAATCTGGACCCAAGTCTTGTGGTTTTGATGATAACAAATATCATTGAATTTTTCACTATGCTATTTTGCATATTTGTTTTGCCCTACTCACTAATATTTCAGGATCACAGCTCGTCTGCAACCTCGATCAGCTCAAGATTGGGTAGACTAGGAAAAAAATTTGTATTTCTCAGTCTTTTTTTACTTTTTACCTTTCTTGAGTCAAAAATATATTGTGGTGAATCTTACAGCTAAGTAACATTGCTCACACACACTCAAGGGAGTGAGTTAGTGAGTTAGAATAATTTCTGTTGTTGAACTAATCATACAATACGATTTATATCGTACTGGACGATCAATTAAATAGAAAACCAAATTAGGGCATGGGCACCTCAATTAATTAAGAGTGATTAAACTAATCGTATTGTACAATACGTATCGTACAGGTCGATCAATTATAATCATCAAAATAGACGTCAATCACAATTTAGGTAATATTTTAAAATTCAAATTTTGTTATAATTGTGTTGTATAATATGCATCGTAATGTACGATATATGACAATCATGTCTAAATTGATCATGTGATTATGTATTTAATTATGGTTAAATTGCTCAATTAGATCGTACAGGACGATCGGAGACGATCGTACTGTACGACCCAATTCATATATGGGACGATAATTAAACGTTGCCCCTCATACAGGACGATTAGCTATGTGTTTGTATTGATCGTACAGGACGATCGGAGACGATCGTACTGTACTACCTGATTCCTGCATGGGACGATAATTAAACACCACCCCTCGTATTGGACGATTAGCTATGTGTTTGTACTAATCATACAGGACGATGTTCCCAATCGTACGGAACGATCAATATAAACACTTGAACTGATCATAAAGTGGGTTGCAGTTCATACTAGATGAAAATGTTGTTTTGAAATATTCGTACAGTACGATCTTGGCTCGTATTGGACGATCAGAAGCATCAGATTGAAATTTAGGGTTTTTTTTAGGCTCTCTATTTAAACTCTCATAATGTCTTAATTGAGAAACTTTTAGCTGCTAATTGTTTTTGGAAGGGAGCAAAGAGGCGCATAGGAGAGCTTTGGGAGAGAGAAGAGAGGGAGAGATTTTTGTAAGGGAGATTTGTGAGAGATTCACAAGATTACTCCAAGCAAGGTTCTTCCTCATCTTCTTAAAGCTTCTGCCTTGATCCTTTGGAGGCTCCAGGAAGACATTCTGCAACAACAATCCCAAGTTCTCTGCCTTCACCAGGAGGGTGAAAAAGGATTTTAGTTTCTCTGCCTTCACCAGGATGGTGAAAAATGCCTTCGGCGGTTTGGTGAAAAAGATTTTGTAAGGGCTTCTTCGCATTGCTGTGGAGGCAAAAGGAAAGACACTACTTTTAGTGTAATACCTGGAAATAAGGTTTCCAGGGAGTGGACGTAGGTTAGGTTGGATCGAACCACTATAAATTTTTGTGTGTTTTGTTTTTATTATCCCGCACTTTTTTTTTTGTGGTTTACTGTGTGGTTGACAAACTTTGAATCTTTGTTATCCTAATTTTAATTTGCTTCCGCAATAAGGGGATTAAGGTGTTTCCTTTTTATTTAAAAATTTTAAATAATCAATTCATCCCCTCCCCCCTCTTGGTTAGCCTCGGGCTGGTTCCTTTAAGTTTAACAACCTACACAAACTTTCACAAGTTGCATCCTCTTACAAATGTCTAGTAAGAGCAACTTGATAAAATGAATGGTGCAATTTTTTTTCCAAATTAGATCTTCACATCGGCTATCATCAAATCTGAACAAGAAGCGATAATGATTGGAAAATGACATTTAAAACAGCGAAATGCTATACGAGTGTTGCATCATGACTTTTGGAAACACACCGAGCACGTTTATGAGATTAATGAATGATATTAAAACATTCCTTGAACATTTTTACTTTTTTTTTTTTTTTTTTTTTTTTTTTTTTTTTGATATCTGAGTGTTCAACATTTCTATAACGGAACATTTATATCACCTCAATTTATTCTTAGCTGTATTGAGAGAAAATAGGCTTTGCATCTTCGTAAGTGAGAATTTGTTGCTTCCATTGTGCACTTTTTGCATTTATATAATTGTCCCAAATGGCCTACATGCAAACCTTTGAAAGATTGAAACAATTCGTTCTTGGCCAATTCCACCATCACTAACTGATATTCTTTCACGAACTAGAAAAAATTTTTCATCAATCTATTAAAAGGCTTAGCATTATAATGGCACAAATAATTGATTATTTGAAACAAAAATATTTTACTTAGGACTACGCACAACAAAGCATTGCTGAGATCAAAGACCTTTGTTCTACTCCCATGCTTCCATTCCTGATTTTGAAAAGACAGTGCAAGTTAAAACTAATGCCTTGGCTATTGTATTGGTGCAATCCTCATACAAGAGGAAGAACCAATTGAATTCTTCAACAAAAACTTAGCTTACCTACAAGCAACAACTAAATGCAACTGTCTGAGCTCACAAGCAAAGAGAATACTACCTATTACACCAAGAGTTCATGTTATTCAGTGACCATCAATCATTCCAATTTTTGCTTTAGAAAAAAAAATTTAAGTCGCATGCATGTTGAGTTGGCTATGTTCATTAGGGCTACAAATGAACTGAGCGTTCAAGAAGCTACTCGTGGCTCGAATCAATAAGAAATCGGTCACGTTCAGTTGATTAACTAATCAAACAAGCTTGAACGCCTTTATAAATGCTCAGTTGTCAAATGAACAAAACTAAATAGCTTGTTGCTTGATTCATTTATGACAATAAACTATACCATTTAATGCTAGTGAAGAAGCTCGTTAAAAAGCTCAATTAAAATTTGATATCATACTCGATATTAAACTCAATTTGTAATTGAGTTAAAAAAAACAATTAAAAAATCAATTAAACGTATGTATACATTTTTTTCTCATCACCGCTCGCATTCACATTCACGTCACCATTCTTTCACATGAAATCACAATTTGAACCAAAAATATATATTAAAAAAACTAATGGTAAGCCAGAGATACCATATGCATTTATACTTCGTGTGAACTATCCCAACTGTTATATGCTTTTTTAGTCCCACGTCTTTGAAAGTTTAGTATAATATTATTTAAATAGAAAAAGAGCTATGTTGCATGAGCTACTTACCACATGAGGCCCTTGGTTCAGAAGATGATGAGATGTTTTGGGTGGCATGATGTGAATGAGTATTTTAAAAATTTGTTGTGTCAAAACTTTTATTTTTTTAGTTTAATGATCCACTCGATAATAAGCTCATTTACTCGGCTCTAAAGAATCACTTATGGTCCAAATGAGATACTTGTTTAAAGCTCAATAACTACAAAATGAGCCAAACTCAAGATGAGCTCAAATCAAATTCAAGCAAGCATGAATTTAAACGAACCAAGCTCGAATATTGGCACAAAAGCTTGAATTAAGCTAGAGCAAAATTTGGTAAATGAGCATGAACAGCCTTTGGCTCACTCGGTTCATTTGCAACCTAACATTTACGTAAAAATTTATGTTCATTCTCAAGCATAAAGATGAAAATAGCAATCGAATGACTAATCTAGTAAGCTAGTGAACTAGCATGTTTGCAACTCTATAAACAAAGATAATCGAATCGGGAGAACTTTGATATCTTTATTCCACAGACCTATAATTCACATACCAATGGGTAATATACTTGGCACATGTTCCAATTGGCAATTTCTCCATCCAACATGGATAGCTCTTCAAAGGTAATCAACTTTGGATATAGAATACTTTCTCAAACAACTATTGAATATGGTTTGGATTAATGCAATAAAGCTTTTGACATCCAGTTGTTAAGGCTTTCTTCTGTGAGATAGAGTTTAAAAAACCTCCCTCATATCCTAACCTCCGATCACAATGTTAAATTTAAGATATATTTTTTACATTAACTCTGAAATCACCTATAAATTGAATTTCATTTAAGATTCACTTATCATCCTCAATTTGTTGGTCAAACAAAGACCGAAAACCGCGCATTAAGAAAAATCTTGAGCTACCTTGAAAACGAGCATCCAACGCAATGGGATTACATGCTCGAATAGGCTAAATTCACCTATAACTCTATGCTTAATCGAATAACTAGGAAAAGCACATCCCACATTGTCCACACAAAGTTACCTAACCATATAAATGACCTTAAAATTCTTCCAAAGCCAAGAAGTAATCCTATCGTTGATTTAAGCACTTTTTTACCACCAACTTAAGTACTTCAACATGGAAAATTTGGTTATGGTGTATCTTCAAAAGGAGTGATCTCCCTCATGCTAATAATCCAAATTAAAACCCATGAAGCACAAGCCATTTCCAATAACTAACCAGATCAATGATAATGATTTTGTTGTTTCTATCCCATCTAATTTAAATATTTCTTCCAATTTCAACATGGTTGACCTCAACGACTATCACCTACCAAATGACGAACATAACCAGCTCATTGAACTCAAGTCAATTTTTTGAAGAGACAGGGAACTGATGCAGCTCTCCAAGCTCCACTATTAATCAATTACTATTCCCTACTTATGTGCTATTTCGTTTGCAGTAAAATAAGTGTAAAGTATTCCAAATGCATGGATTTTGAGAATATTGATGTTTGGTTTGAAGTAAATTATGTAGTGTAAAATTTTGGTGCATTTGAAATTCACTCTCTAGTTCAATTTGGTGCATTTAGAATTCCTAAGATTTTGGTGATTTTTAAATACACCATAAATTTATCACCATTGCCTCTAACCGCTGCCACTATCACCACCGCCGACCACCAACTATTAGCGTCAACATCTACCATTGCCAGCCGACCATCACCCACTACTGGCTACCGTCGCTATCATCTACTACCACCAGCCATCGCCCCACCTTTGGCCTCCGCTGCCGCCACCACTGTCGACTACTACCAGCCGCCCACCCCCGCCCCGCCACTAGCCACTAACCACCACCATCTTTGGAGTTTATATTGCATTCATTATACTTCAAGAAAAAAAAAATATCTTTATTTATTTTACACTCATCCAAACAATTCCAAACCATTTCAAATACATTGTATTTCTTTTTCAGGCAACCAAATAGCCCCTTAATTTTATTGTTTTCATGATTAGCTATTAATAGTTAATAGTAGCTGTTTTCTTTAATTGTTATTTGATTGTGAGCTTCATATATAACAGAAACCACAGAGTATTGTGATTCTTATTCTCTGAATACACCATTTAACTGGAAAAATGCAAAACTTTTTGTTGCAATCATCATCTTCTCCTTTGGTGTATCTTCTACTACGCTAAAAATCAATCATAGTGACTCACATGTACAATTTCAACTGTTCAGAAGAACAATGTCAAGGCATTTAGCCGAAAGGCAGCGCTACACCGTGGCCAAGTTATTATCGGCAATAGTTGGGGAGAGCTAAGCAATTTAAACCGAGAAGGAACGATGCAACTTACATATGGAACCCATTGCAAGGTCCGCCGCTGCAGATGAAGCACATGGAATTCAGCTATTTGCCCGAGTTTGCCCGGCCTGAGCAAGTGCATCTCCGTGAGGATTCTCGCCCGGTACCTTGAAGAGAACTTGATTGCTTTGAATTTTCCGCGCCCGTCCGTCCGCACACTCACTGTGAACTCCTGTGCGCCACCGTCGCCATCGTCTCCCCTGCCCAGCGCAGGCGCAGCCCCCTCGAAGTCATTGGAGACGTCATAAGAATTCGTTACTGAAAGCGTCGAAGGGTCCAGCGTGATGATCGCAGAGTTCGAGATGCATAGGATACGCTTATAGCGACCACGCCACGAGTGTTTGACAACCATGTAGCGAGACAGGTACTCCGGTTCCTCGGGGACTACAGGGCCGGCGACAGCGGGAGCAGAACGATTAGTAGAGGTTGCGGCCGAAGGAGGCGTCGACTCCATCGTCGATGGAGGGGGGTGAGTCTGGTCGGCGTCGGAGTTGGCGTGGCGGCTGACGAAATCCATGGGCGACAACTGGTCTAGGTATCCGATTCGGCGAGCATTAGGATTACGAAGGAAGGGGAAGAACCATAAGCCCGGGTTTGCCGCAAACGGGCCCTGACGAGACTGATTCGCCCCCAGCGCTCCCGATCTCTTCGAGATACCCTATCGATTTATTGCACACAACCTGCTCAATGGAGAGATGGTTCCGAGTATAGCCGCCTTCTCTTCTTCGGATAGGGGTTTTCTAAGCCATCGGCATCGAATTAGAAAATCAAAATCTTCCGTTCGTTTCTGTCTCTGATCGGAGAGGCGAGGGCTCGCCACAGTGGTTTCTCGGACGTCGCTGGGATTTAGCAAAGGGGAACTGTGGCTGTGCCTTCAGCGAAATGGACGGCCCTGATCTCAACGATGGTTCATGGACCGAACTCGTCGCGATGAATTTTAGTAAGTTCAGCCGGCAAAGTTGGTTCGATGAAATTTCAAAATTTTGGGGTTGTATAGGGAAATCGGTTTCGGGTTGAATTCAATATAGATCTACTACTTTTTGACATGATTTGAATCTAACCTATTTTTACGAATGGGTTAATAATTTCAACCCGTACCCAACCCTTCGGGTTTTCGGGTTGCCCCAGCCTAACAAGAAGGACTGTGCCGGATCGATAGAAGTTTGCGAACGGTTGCTTCAACAGGGGAGAGAAGAGGATGCTCTATGATAATCAAAGGATTGAAAGGAGAAAGATTAGCTCACTGGTGGCGTTCGCGGTGGTGGCTTCGACATCAGCGCCGGAGATGCCAGTGAATCGAGCGGGATCATCGACGAACTCAGTGGAGAAGGGGAGCATATGTTTTCAGCAAACTCATTGCCACCACCTCCTAGTAGTACGACAGAGTTGATTGGAGAACGATAGGCTAAGGAAGGAGAACCGAAAGCCTGCTAACGAGGTATCCAAGATGAAGAATTTGTGTAACAACATCTTCTTCTTGATGTCTGAGTATGCCAACACTGCGCCGCAGGCACTAGAGTTGATGCCAGCGAGGCAGGTATCGAAGGAGGAGGAGGAGGAGGAGATCGGCGTCAAGGCTGAGTCATCATTCACCATAGGGGACGATGCGGTTTATGCTTGCACAAGTGTAGGCATCAAGCGGAGGCGTGGCCTCAGGTCAGATCGGATCAACTTTGGGTTAGCGGGTTATCCCGGATTCAACCCGATTTTTCAAACTGGTCAAAATTTGGAACCCAAATCCGACCTATTTGCCACACAGGATAATCCTAACCCGGAATGTTTGGGTTAGGTTCGAGTCGAGTTTTCAGGTTGTGTCAAATATTGACACCCCTAGTTTTATAAGTGTAACAACATAATATAATCACAATAATTGTCAAGGGTGAAATCAAAAAAAATTCAAGATGCTTAATTGCTCGTTCTTTTTTTTCATAAAAAATATAAATATTTTAATTAATTTATCTACCTTCAATAAATACATGCTCGAATTCCAAGAAGAATTTCCCTTTTCTATATCATATATAAGATTATTTATTTCAATCCTATTTTTCCCACCTTCAAAAGTGAGTTTGATTGCACTCATAAGTTGATTGTACTATCAGTATATAAAGTATATATAACTAATGGTAAAATTACAATGAAAAGCATTGCATTAGACAACAATAATATTTTGAAATAATATGATGAGTGCAATTGTAATAGTAACATTAGACAAAAAAATTTATACAATTGAGTACAATTATAACATATATAATAGTTATAAGAGAACTAATGTGCAAATTCATAACATTCATATCATCTATAACAAAGTTTTATAAATTAACATGTAAATTCATCCATATTATATCATCATGTTCTGCAAACTAAACTGTAAATTTATTTATATCATTGATAGCATCTAAATCATTCATACTATATCATCACCCATGTGTGTATTCTATTAACTTGATTAATAAAAGAAAAATATTTATGAAGAATTATTTTGTTTATATGAAGTATATTTGAACGTATGACTCAACGTTATTGTGGAATAAGACTTCGTTTGGGACAGCTTTCTTATTACTTCTTAAAGCAGCTTTCTTGTATAAAAATTTTAATTTTTATACTAGAAAGCAGTTTTAAGAAGCAATAAAAAAGCCGTCCCAAACGAAACCTAAATCTGCTTATAAACTGACTTTGATAATTATATTGAGAAGAATTTTTAATTAAATAAATCAAGTTTTATATTGCACATACCTCATAGTCATCGTTACAAATAAGATATAGAGTAATCATTAGAATGTATTGGTGGTGGAATCAAAATGTGAAAGAAAATATCATAAATAAGAAGCTTTGTTATGAAATTGGTTTATATGTTAAAACTCAAAGAGTTGAGAATGATATAAAGAGACCCGTAAGAAGTCTAAGAAAGTAATATGTAATGTGAAAAATTTAGCTTTGAATGATTTATATAATATATTATATACTAAGGAGGGTAAAAGATATATATATAAGTTAGCCAAACAAAGAGATAAGATAAATAAGGATTTAATTTAAGTGAAGTACATTAAGGATGAAAAATAAAAGTGGAATTATTAGAAGATGATATTCAACAAAGATGGATGGGATAATTTGATAAGATTTTCAATAAAAATTATGAGTACGATTGACTTTAGTGACCTTAGCATCATAAATGAAAATTGAAATTTTTACTTTTATCAGCTTATTAATAAAACAAAAGTTAAAGAGGCATTAAAGAAAATAAAGTATGAAAAAGTTCTTGGACCTGATGATATTTCAATAGAGATATGAAAATGCTTAAAGGATGAAGGAATTTCTTGACTTACAAAAAATTTCAATATTATTTTGAAGACTAAAAAGATGCCACATGAGTGGAGGAGTGTGTTGATTCATATTTTTAAGAATAAAGGTGATACATAAGAGTGTGTGAATTATAGATGAACTAAGTTAATGTGTCATACTTTAAAATTTTGGGAGAGAGTTATTGAGCATAGGTTATGCCGTGATACTAATATTTCTCAAAATCAATTTGGATTCATACTGGGTAGGTCTACTATGAAAGCTATATATTTATTGAGAGGTTTGATAGAGAAGTATAGGGAGAATAAGGAGGATATACATATGATGTTTATTGATTTAGAGAAAGCTTATGATAAAATTCCAAGTGAAGTGTTATGAAGAGTTTTAGAAAAGAAATGAGTTAATAATGCTTATACGCAAGTCATTAAGGTATGTATGCATGAGATTTTACTTGTGCCTAAACACAAGGAGGTTGAATTAAGTATTTTCCTATTTCAGTTTGATTACATCAAGAATTAGCTTTAAGCCCATATCTTTTTTCTTTAGTTATGGATGTTCTTACTAAACATTTGCTGGAGGATGCACCTTGATGTATGATTTTGCAAATGATATTTCTCTTTTTGATAAGACTAGAGAGGGAATTGAAGGTAAACTTGAACTATGGAGGTCAACCTTAGAGTCTAAAGATTTTTGTTTGAATAGATCTAAAACTAAATATATGGAGTGTAAATGTAGTATCAATTGATCTAATGGGGGAATTGTGACTTTGGGTAATCAAGTCATTAATAAGAGCAAACATTTTAGATATCTCAGGTATATTGTATAGAGCAATATTGAAATAGATGGGATATTATTAGTAGAATTCAAGTTGGATGCTTGAAGAGGAGGAATGCATCAGGCATGTGGTATGATAGAAAATTACGCATCAAACTTAAGGAAAACATCTATAAGATGGTGGTAAGACCTGCAATGCTTTAGGGCACAAAATGTTGATCATTAAAAGAGAAGCATACAATTAAGTTAAGTGTTGCAGAGATGAGGATGCTCAGGTATATGAGTAGCTTTACTCTTAAAGATAGAATGTGAAACGAGCATATACGTGAAAAAGGTTTGAGTAGCTCCAGTGGAAAATAAGATTAGAGATAGTCACATTTGATGGTTTGGTCACATAAAACGTCGACCTTCAAATGACATGATTAGGAGAGTAGATTTTTTTATTCCTCTCTTCTTTTTTTCCCTCTTTCATTTCTTCTTCTTCCATTTCTTCTTCTTCCATTTCCTTCTCACGCAAGCTGGCGAGTGAGGGAGTGAGTGGAGAGCACGAAGATATATATATATATATATATATATATATCTTAATTTTGGTCGCCGATTTGTTTTGTCGTACACGAAAATTGATCAGATTGTGGTTGGCACATTTTATCATATTCTTGTTTTCAAAAATTTTAATTTCAACTATTTGATTTTTTTCAAATTGATTTTATTACATTTTCTCCATAATTAATAATTTTCTACCACGTTATTTTTTACATATTGTAGTAATTATTAATTTGAATTTTTTGACTTGTTGATTGTGTCATTTCATTGGGTAAAATAAAAATTATTGTATTTTGTATGATGTGCACATAATAGTAATTTAGTATTTTAATACAAGTATAATGTTAATATGAGCATTATGAATGAATATGAATATGTGATTGGGTAATAGAGGTTGTTATTACTTTTATAATTATATAATAATGTCTTCAGACAAGAAAAGGTTGAATATTTACTGATATTAGCTGGAAACTGACTAACATGTATATATATGATGGTGGGTTGACGGACTTTTCTTTAAATATGATAGTTTATTGTTATCTTATACTAATTCAAATCATTCATTAATTGAGAGTTATTAGAGTAATTATTGCATCGATGGGCAACGAGTAACGTCTTTGTTTACTTAGCCAACAGCTACTAACTCACTAACTACTAGAAAATACCACTAAAGACAAAACTCCTTGTTTAATGTGATCATTGAAATGCATGCTGGTGCAATGATTTATTGTTACTGCATTGCTGTCACTCTATTGTTTTATTGTTCTACTAATTACTATTACTGTATTAATTTATTGTTGTTATTATACTGATTTGTTATTACTTAACACGTGATTCTTATATTGAGCATGTGATATAAGATATTAATTTAGAATAGTTAAATATCATGTGTATACCCTTATATAATTTCCTAATAGTACTACATTGGTATGGATTCTTACAGTTATTATAGATGTTTTAGTTTTACTAATTTATATGTTTTTCTTATTGATTTGATATTACTGCAAAGACGTAAGATTTAAGAAGTATTGTGAATGACTTTATTAATTTAACATCTGTAATGGTTTACTAATTTACATATTTCATTGTTTCTATACTGTACTATTTTACTGGCATTCGTACTGTACTGGTTTATTGTTTTATATGCCTTATAGTTATTTTATGTGTTTTATTATTTCTAGACAGATACATAATCATATTGACTGCTACTATTATGGACTGACTAACCACATGTATACTGTTTTTTTTTTTCGTGCTTTGAGTTCAATTGTATGATTTAGTTAGATGTTGAACTGTTTAGTTCATTATATATAGTTTAAATAATTTCAGGTTAAGAGAGAGGATCAGGAGTGTACATTGATGGGTTACAAGATTTATCAGATTTTATTATTGTATATTTATTTTTATTTTTAGATGTTCTTTTGTATTCAGGAGTGAAAAAATGGGTATTATATTTATATGACTATGGGATATCGTATATAATTTTTGGAGTATAAATGCAAATGTATACTAATGTTTTGATCAATAAATTCATTTATGTTGATATTTATACTATTGATAAAATAAATTAGACATCTCTAATTGTAGTTATTACAAAAGATAAAAGAAAGATTTCTTCCAAATCAATTTATGGGTAAGGCAAACCTAACTCGAAAATAACAAAAAAAATAAATAAAATCGAACTAGAGATGCTACTCAAATGACATTCAATAATACCACTGGAGTTGACACTAATGATGAGCTTATGGTCGCTAATAATGACTTTCAAAATTCCCTCAATGACGCAAGCTTATATTCATGATGTTCATGTGACCTTTGTCTTGGTTTAATCCAATTAAAATTTTTGAATAAGGAATTTATTGATGTCTTTGAAACCGTCCCTCTTATACATTATGTAGTTTTTGAAACATAGTAGTAGGGGCTTCGGCTCTCGGGGCATGTGACATGTGATACTTTCGTGTCGGTCATCTAGATCACTGGCACGGAGGTCCTGAAATACAGTTCCGAACGGATGATGTGCTGAATCCTTTGCAGACAACTTAAATTCACGATGGGGCATTGTACGTGACAGAGTGGCCTTTGCTGTCACAATCCACTAAAATCCTGCCCTATGTCGCAATAGATTCAAATTATCTATATATATATATATATATATATATATATATATAGTTTTTGAGACATGAGTTTCACAAGGGGGTGCTCCATCCACCAAGTACTGATTCTATTGTGATTCCCAAGAATAGTGCCAATGTGGAGGCTTTGACTGCTGCCGGAAATAAGGAAGGTCCCTTGGTGGTTAAATGTTGAGAAAAATTTCTTGGAGAAGTTTCGTTGAATTAAATCACAATTTCTCCCATGCTCCAATAGACAGTTGGTTTTTTATTTTAATTTTCATTTTTTTTTTTGGGCCGTCAGCTGGAGTCATCATTGTTATATCAAATATTATTTAAGTACTATTTAGATGTTTAAGAACCTGCTTTATAGAGGTATCAATATTGTACACGACCCGAAAATTTGACTCGAATCCAACTGAAATTTTCGGATTCAGATTAGAGATTTCGTCCGGTTTGTAAAAATGGGTCAGGTTTGGATTGCCCCAGAAACCCAAAATCAACCCGGCTTGAACAGGACAGATCGTTTCTCATTCTTTGTCCATCTCGTCGCGTCAGTCGTGACCTAAGAGAAGCCTCGTTAGCCTTCGCGTCCGCCGGCCATCTGCGTCAAGCTGTCGCGTTCGCCAGCCGTCTCCTCAGCCAGCCGCCGCGTCTGCCAACAGTCTCGCATCCGTTTCCCACTCATCGGGTCATCGGTCCACCCAGTCGCATACTTGTCAATCTCAACATCTCACGTCCGCCATCCTCACCATCCCACTCCCATGCACAGCGACGCGCCGACACCGGTCTGCTGTCACTGCCTCACCCTGGTCAAACGTCCCGAGATCTTAATCCTGTAGCCCTTCTGCGAACCGCACGAACCCTTCCAAGTTCCAAACAGACTCCCTATCGCCAATCTGTCAGGTCAATTCTGGGTTCAACCTGAACCTGACCCATGACCCGAAATTGAAACCCCTACTGCTTTGTTTTATTTTCTGTTGACGAGAAATAAATTGCTGCTTCTTATTTCTTATTTGGACCTGGGAAAGTGCTTCATCAACTTCATTGCTGCTTTTGCTGAAATTTGCTGCTCCATGCCTCCATCTGAAGTAAATCATGCTAATTCATGAAGGGTTACAGTTTTGATTGCTGGATTAAATCCTGTTTTACTTACATAAAAGTGTTTCAGTCTTCTGATTTCGGCAATATATTGCAGTAAGGTTTTGCTGACTACCTCCTATATCCTGCTTGTTTAAATTCCTCCAGATTCAGTATCAGGATGTTGCTTTGGGGTTTGTTGCAAATAAATGCTGAGGATAGTTGATTTGGTTTAGATTTTACTTTCTAGTTGTCTCTTGCGCTGCTATAGATTTTTGTTATTTGGATTCACTGTGCAGGGATCAACCTCCCTCACAATCCCCTGTGAGAAATCTCTGCTCATACACATGGAACTTGACCTCATAATTATTTTATTTTTTATTCGCCATTAAATGTAGAACCTCTTTAGCTGTGCTCCCTCTTGTAATTGGCTGCATATGATTTGATCCACTAAATTAGGGTACATGTAAATCTAAAATAATCTATTCACAAGTGCTGAAGATGAAACTATTTTGTTTTTTTTTTATGAAAGAGTGTAACCATAATATATATATATTCAATTATATATTTAATTAAATATATTAATTATAAATCATGAGCATCCAAAAAGTTTATTTACCCCAAAAAATAAACAAAATTTTCAATATCTCCTTAGATATATATTAAAAATTATTTGAGCATAAAACTTCATAAAAATCAATGAAAGCCCATAACAGTTATTTTAAAAATTAAAATTTTAATTTCACTTTTAAAAATATAATTAAAAAAAAAAAAAAAAACAACTCTGATTGGATCAAAGCTAGAATCTATGGTTACATATAAACTAACGTTTTATCCATTTGGGCCATACATAATAGTAAATAGTTTTTCAACAAACCTCTGTAATGAGCATATAAAAAATGAGTTAATTAAGAGAGATTATTCTATGCATATGTCAAACGGAGTTTATCGTCCGGATATCAACCCACGTCAACAGTATTGAGCCGGATACCTAGCGGTACCGAGTAGTACCGAGCCGGATACCGAATAGGAGGCGACGCGACACATTCTGATTGGTATCTGAAAGATATTCTGCATCCGCACAGAATAATTTGATGTTAATTAAAGTGAAAGTTTACTACTATCTTGTCTTGTCTCGCCAGCAACTCCCTCCTCCCCTTCTCACTGAGTGACTAACAGTGACGAATGCACTGATTAATATCATCATTTATCACAAAATATTCAAATACATGGCCAGAAACCACTTGTATTAATTTTAAGGATTCGAATCATATGTGCTCACCTTACACTTTAGAAATCAATCATAAAAATATATATATTGATTTTTTTATGATGAAGATGAATTAACGGAACTGTTCCATTATATAATTCAGGAAGAAAACTTTGGAAATACGCCTTTACAAACTTACACGTTCAACTCATTCGCCAACATCTACCATTTAATTACTCCAAAGACTATGCATTAATACACTCAAGGTCAACCAATTTTGTAAGAGAGGGTGAGGAGGAGGAGGAGGAGGAGGGCCGTTTGTGAAAGTAACTCCCCATCAAATTACCTTCCTCCATGCTAATCAACTCCTCCCTCTCCTTGTCTTCGGCTTCATCGAAAAGCCCGAGCTCTTCCTCCAAATAGGCAAGCCATTTCTTGCTGTCGTCGGCCAACTTGCCACCATCGCTGGTGTTACTCCAAAGGTCTGGATCAATTGGAATATCGCTGAAAATATCGTCATTCTCGACCGCCGCCAGCGGCGGCAGCGGTAAAGATGACGGATTAGGAGACAACGAGGAGTCGAGTATGTCCCACATGTCAATCTGGGGCTCAATGGGGATCTCAATTTTTTCCAAGGAGAGCTCATCGCCTTCTGTGAAGGACGTTATACCGGAGGATGCGGAGCTTGGGGGGTTGACCTCAGACCAACTTTTGTTGGTCATTGATGATTGTGCTGTGTAATCCTGATGCTTGATACGCTTCTTGAGATGCGTGTTCCACACATTCTTGATTTCGTTATCCGTCCTCCCAGGTAGGCACGCGGCAATCTTCGACCATCTATGATTACAACACAATTTTTAATATTAAAATTCACCTCGAAAAATCAGGCTTTTTCAGCACCTTTTAAGATCTACCGCAGCGATTTAAACACATGTTAATTTATTTAAAGCAGTTTAAAAATCGCTGTATTTGTTTTCGCTGGAAAGATTTTAGCAGTGTTTTTATGAGTGCTACTGTAAGAAGGCTTTAGCAACGCTTTTAGCATGTGAAATATGATTAGAGCAGCAAGTGCGAAGAAATAAGTAAGATTTTTGCAGCTGTTATAACTTTTGTTTAAAGCTCGCTACAGCTGTTATTGAAATATCAGATTTTTGGTACGTAGTGTTAGTATGTTACGAAACTAAATTCTATACTCATATACAAATAAAAATGACAATCATGACGAGTTGATTACTTGTTGCCGAGCAATTCATGGAGATTGATGATGGTGTCCTCTTCCTCCTTGGTGAAATTACCTCGCTTGATGTCAGGGCGGAGATAGTTGATCCATCGAAGGCGGCAGCTCTTCCCGCACCGCAACAAGCCTGAAAAAAAGAAGCAGATTTGGATTAATTTGCACCTCAAATCTTTCAGATGGAAGAAGAAGAAGAAGAGATAATCGAAGGGCTAGCTAGAATGACCTGCTTGTTTAGGAAGAGCTCGCCAGTTGCCATGGCCATGCTTGCGGATGTAGGAAATGAGGCGTATATCTTCTTGCGGAGTCCATGAGCCCTTGTGGAGCCCAATTTTTTGACAACAAGGAGCTCTGCCTCGTCCCATCACTCCTGCTCTTTCTTGCTTAGTTTCTTTTCATCCAAGTTTTGAAGGTAACTAACAATATGTTATGTTATTATCTGTATCTCTCTCTATATATATGGTAGCTAGCTTGACAAAGCAGAAAGGAGATATGAAGAAATTGAGGGGAGGTTTGATGATGGAGATTGTGATAGAGGAAGTCTCACCAAAGAGTCGGGATCTCTAAGCTCAGAGATTCGCTCTCCCTATACCAAACCACTATAAAAAAAGCTAGAAAGATATGCTTGAAAGACAGCAATATAGTCCTTGTTGCTGCTCTCATCCGATTAAGGAATTCCTAATTTTCTATAAGTAATTTGTCCCTCCTCATATGTTGATTTGTGTTTTTTTTTTTTTTCCTATCATTTTTTCCGCCATAAAATACAATTATTCAAATACAGTCTTTGATTGGTAGGTATAAGAAATATAAAATATGATTCAAGTATTATAAAATAAATGTAAGCTCCCTAAGGACAAATAATTTGGGTAAATTAATTTAAGACGGTTGATCAGTCCTTTGACTTTTATCAAATATTTTAAAATTTGTTACACTTTATTTTACTTTATAAATGATATATCATCAAAAAATTATCTTGATCAGGCACGCTTCTCGAAGCAATATCAAGTTGGAAATTTTAAAATTAAATAGGAACCATTTTAACTTCGATTTCAGCAAATTTATGGTCGAACTAAACGTCTTGAAAAGACGAACCCAACCACACAAAATCTATACTACTATATAAAAGTGGCTTGGGACTTCACTCTTAGCAGATCCTGATCGTTCATTTGTAAATTTTAAAATAATCTGAAATGTTCATTTATGACTCTTCAAATTCTTTATTAATGCACGTGCAATAGAACTAGTTTGATGATAAGTTTGGTGAAATCAGAGTTCAAATGGTCCCAGATTTAATTTTTTAAATTTCCAACTTAATTTTACGTCGAGATTCATGTCAGATCAAGATAATTTTTTTTATGATATATCAATAATTAATCAATTAAATTGGAGAAGATAGAGAGAAAGTGAGACTAAAAATGGTTAGAAAATAATAATAACAATATTAATACAATTCAATTCCAGGGATAATTAGCAATTCATCCATATATAATTTTACGAGAGACGCATGAAAATTATCCTGCAGTGAAAGCAACCGAGTACTGAGCACCTTGATGTGGGCAGATTTTTTTCCCAGCTTCAAATTTGATTAAGACGTCAAGCTATTTTCATTCCAGCACTGTCCATTTAATTAAATAATTAAGTCCTTAATCAAACAAACACTTGTCATTAACCTACTACAAATGTAGAGCTTTATTAAGAGATTCTCTTACCGACTTAATGATAATTACTTGAAGGCCAAAAGATTTTGCTTTAAGCTCGTGCCGACTTGGTCATCATTTGGTAGGGTTACAAGCTAACAACTCAATGCAAACTATTTTGTATAAAATTCTCTTATTGAATAAATTTAATAAAATTGTTAACTTTCATATATAGATGAATATATTTGAAGACTTGTCTTAGTTCTTTGTGGAGTCAATTAATCAAGTTGTATTGTTCACTTAGATCTCAACATAGTTGGTCAAGCTTGCAGGGGATAGCACTTACTTTGGGTGCAAAGCCCCCGAAATTTTTTATTTTGTGCATAACCAAGGGGCTTTGGATCTATTGAGTCTGTTTTTTTTTTTTTTTTGGGAGTTTTTTCATACATTTTTTTTAATTTCGTAGGTTATAGCTGTATGGAAGTTATGCTCAGATGTATAAGAGAGTATAAAAACTACAAGAGAGACTGAGAGAGTAGATCTGGTGAAAGATCTATACAATTTCCCTCTATATATATTTTTTTATAGTGAATTTCTTGGTGTGAGATCGGGTCTGCGGTGTGACGGTTGATGGCAGACATTCCTCCCGATCTCACCCAGGCTCGAATTACCTAATTTGCAAAAAAAAAAAAAAAAAAAAAAAAAAAAAAAAAACTTTTGATGTGATGTGACTCCGTGATATTTTCAATTTTCAGGTTTTTCATTTAAATTTTGATGTTCCGCTGTTTTCATCTTATTTGCTTATATTTATTCACTCATAACAACTTGCACATTAGCTTCTTCATTTTAGTACATTGGTAATTAAATAAGATAATTAATTTTTACTAAATAATTTCCTTACAAATGGATAATACGATCATTTAATGATTATTTTATTGTTTTTAAAACTTATATTATGTTATTATTACGTCAATTTTTTTATATTTTATACATTTAAAAATTATTCATATTACATAAATATGCTGAAAATTTATTAAATAAATACCTAGATTGATAGGTTTATAATTTATTTATTTTTTTCATTAACATTGAATAATTAAAAATTTTAAAAATAAATCCTGCATTGATAAATCAAGAATCTGATTTTATTTAAAAATGATCATTTGATAACGAAAATACTGAATAAATAAACAGATGAATTGATTAAAAATCTTATTTTATTATTTATTAAATATCAGAAATAACACTAAATTAATTATGATCAAATTTGATAAGTAATTTGAATAAATTTATAATTAGTAATAAGACTAATTATTTACCTCATTGACATCGGTGCATCTTATTAATATATACTTAGTTAGAATCGATTATGCCTTGGGCTTCTTTTGTGATAGTTTTTTTTTTTCTGTTTTTAAAGTGGTTTGAATTTTTTAATACAAAAAATTCTAATTTAAATAAAATAAAATAAAATCAGCGATAGTTTTTTTTTCCTGTTTTTTAAAGTAGTTTGAATTTTTTAATACAAATAATTCTAATTTAAAAAAATAAATAAAATAAAATTAGCTTTAAAAAATAACAAAAAAGCTATCCCAAACAAAATCATATAGTTAATAAGAAATCTAATAAATAAGCTTGAACAATTTGGGGTGGATTTGTTGAAGCTCAACAAGAGCTTGATAAAATAATCACTAAATAAGCTCATATAATATAATGCTTAGCTCAACTTGATTCACTTACAGGCTTTCGATTGATTGAGCAAAAAAAACCTCAGTTGGTCCTCAGCATGTGTGGCTTTTGAGATATTTTATATGACATCTGTCATTCTTTAAAGGGTGGGTGGCATCGAGAATATATATTCAAATCATATAACACAATATATTAAGCAATGCTACATTAATCAGCCTATAACTTAAAATATATACATACATTAATAAATTAATGATGAGTTTCATAATTTGACATGTGAGTTTATTAAAATTTGCTCTCTCTCTCTCTCTCTCTCTCTATCTCACTCTTAGGATTGATTATTTTGTGCGGACGCCGAACGTCGTCTAGAGACAAACCAGAATGCACCATGTCACCCATTCGCTATGCATCGCTAGGTACCACGGCTAGATACTATTGATGTGGCGCATTCTGGTTGGTCTCAAGACATCATTCTACGTCCGACTTCCGCACAGAATAATTTCTCCACTCTTAGGCTTTATTTGAGATGGCTTTCTTATTGCTTTCAAAAGAAACTTTTTAATACAAATTTTCTAATTCAAGATATTTTAAATGACATCTGTCATTCTTTAAAGGGTGGGTGGCATTGAGAATATATATTCAAATCATATAACACAATATATTAAGCAATGCTACATTAATCAGCCTATAACTTAAAATATATACATACATTAATAAATTAATGATGAGTGTCATAATTTGACATGCGAGTTTATTAAAATTCTATCTCTCTCTCTCTCTCTCTCTCTCTCTCTCTCTCTCTCACTCTCACTCTCACTCTTAGGATTAATTATTTTGTGCGGACGCCGAAGGTCGTCCGAAGACAAATCAGAATGCACAATGTCACCCCTTCGTTATGTATCACTAGGTACCACAGCTAGGTACTATTGATGTGGCGCATTCTGGTTGGTCTCAAGACATCATTCTACGTCCGACTTCCGCACAGAATAATTTCTCCACTCTTAGGCTTTATTTGAGATAGTTTTCTTATTGCTTTCAGAAGAAACTTTTTAATACAAATTTTTTAGTTCAAGATATTTTTAAACTAAAAAGCAGTAAAAAATATGTTCCAAATGAAGCTTTAATACAATTTTTTTATTGCTTCTTAAAATTGAGTTTTTGTACAATTTTTTTTTTAATTTTTGTACTAAAACTATGTTTTAAAAAATAATAAAAAAGTCATCCCAGACGAAGCCTTAGTGTCATGCTTCAAAAGTTTTTGAAGTTTTGTGATGGACCTCATAATATTTTTTTCTAAAATCATCAATTAAATAATTATAAGAAAAATATCGCATTTCTCTAACAAATTTTATAACCAATAAGGAGTAGAATGAAAAGAAAGATAATTATGCAGGAATCAGGATGTGTTGGTAGCTTCTTTATAATTCTCCATATTTTATTATCTTTTGATTCCATTTGGCTCACTTGTTGTTTATTAACACATGCTTTAATTAATATTTTGTGCTGGTTGAGTAATATATGATATAAGAGTAGCAGTATATAATAAATTTAGCAGAATAGTCCATAAATCTATTGACTAATTTGTTGTTATTATTATTGTTGTTGTTTAAAATGTATGATGAATATCAAACAAATGTTGATACATATGCGTATTATGCATGTTTGATTTTAGAATTCGATTAAAATTACAAAATACAATTAAATTAAAAATATATAGTTCATTTCGATCAATATTCATTTTGTATATGTAGTGTTAGTTCATGTGTTCACATTCCTATAGAAATCACATGTGGAATTTTAAAGGATCGTTTGGGACATTTTTTCGTTACTTTATATTTCAGATAGCAACCTCATTTTTGTTTGGCTATTATTTTCTTGCAATTTTCAAACTTTTTTTTTTAAAATTTCTGTGGTGGAAAGTTATTTTTTGCACCATAGTAATTAAGGCTTCGTTTGGGACATCTTTCTTGCTGTTTTGTAAAGCGGCTTTTTAGTACAAAATTTCTTAAACTAAAAATTTTTGTACAAAAAACTGCTTTAAAACGCAAAAA